CTCGTCATGCATTTTATAATTTATCTGAACTAAAAATCTGCATTATAAATTTTCGAACACATACCCTGCAAAATAAGAATGACGAAAGAATTGCAAAACCAGAATCGTAAATCAAGAGAAGAAACATTCCTCCCTCTTAAAGTCTTTCGTCAGGGACGAGTCATGGCTATTCTAATCGCGTCGACATGTGACTTAAACGGGTCATCAGGGCTAACGAATCGTTCAGGAAGAGATCGGCGATGCGGGAAAAGAAACAATCCGCCATCTGGACCGCCGATGATCTTATAAGGCATCACGTTACAAGTGTGCGTTATGAAACAAGAAGCGAACGCATTGCGTACGTTATATTGCGTGATCAGTAGCCCGTGGAATCGTGCGCACACAGTTTTCAGTACAACGTGAATTTTTTTCTGTACTCTTCGTAACGAAAGAACAACAACCCGAGGAAAGTATGATTAAAACGTGAGTGCTCATCGAAATTCTAATTATTTTCAAATATCGCGTGCAATATCGGACGATAGATCGTACGCAACGATATATTGAATGTAAGTCGTGCAAATCGTGATTAGATCCTGGGAATTGATAAAGCTTTTGTTTAGTTGAACGTTAAAATTTTCCAAACGCGAGAAAAATGAGACTGCAACTGCGACGAGTGGGAATCGCGTTTAGCTTGATAATGCTGTTAGCTGTGTTTGAATTTTGCACAAGTAACAACGCTACCTGGGCCAGCAATCGTGACAAGAAGATGCGCATAGTTAGGAAGTTAAGAAAGGACTTCCGAAAGTTAAAGAAGCAGGAGGGAGCATTAAAGCTGACAGGAGGTGAAAACGGCGAACACGAAGGTGCTATAAAAACTTATTTTATATATGCTAGATTTAATCTTTAAAATATTTAACCTTTGGAGGAGATCTCTTTAGAGACTTGACAATGGCGCCACCTTTTTCGCCACTCAATCCTATGACATTGACAAAAAAGTTCTGGTCCTTAAAATAAAAAAGTCGATCAAAAACATGCCGATCCTCGGAAGATTAATATCGAGCAGCGGCAGTCTTCGTTGAGGAAAGGATTACTTTAAAATCGCCGGGACTCAACTTAGCGAATAACAAATGATAAATGCAATGATAACAGTAATAATAACGCGAATTCTCTCGTTTTATTTCGTTTTATCTTAAGATGATACATCCCACATAATAAAATTTACGCGATTCAAGGGAGCATATGGAACGTGCTGTGACGTACGCGGAACAAAGGAACTTCGTCATTTAGTCGGATCAATTGGTGCACTAATCAATTATGCATCTTCTCAATCTTCTTATTACACAGACCGAGTACGGTGATTGTATCGATTGTATACCAACGAGACGTGCCGTAAACTGGGCGCACCCCGTATCGTAAATCCGACCAGGATGAAAGCAAACCCTCGTTGAGGGTTGATATTTTCCCCGCGATAAAGCGCGCGCGGCTACAATATAAACGGGTTATAAATCTCTCTCTTTTCCTCTTTTTCCCGCTCCGTTTCGCGGGGATAAAAAGCGAGGTTCGCGCGCGAGTTTTATCGCGCGGCCGTTCAAATCGCTCTCGCGCGATGACGATTAAAAAGAGGTCAACTCGAGGAAGATTTATGCCAACAACCATGCGCCATACGTCACATATGTACACGTAATACCGGGAATCGCAGCATAACATGGTCACCATAAAATCAGATCGTAAAATAGGATCGCGATCTTCACAACTCCGGCTGAGACTTTGCAGGACGCTACATGTGTATTGTTAAGACAGAAGGTCGCAGTCGCCGCGTTTTATTGAACCAAATGCAAGTGATATTAAAAGCTAGTAATAAAAAATTGTAATTAAAGTTTAATACATACTTTTAATGCTTTCAGTTAAAACAATCAAATAAATTGATACAATTAGAAACAGTACTGATTTTTAAAATCGTTAATAGAAGACATGATAGAAAATTAAGCATCTTTCTCTATAATAACAACTATTTATAATGCTCGTAATAATTAAAATCGACTATTCCATAAATTAAGAATTAACCCACGAATATTCATAGAAAGAACGATTAAGTTTGCTTTGTTGGATCATCAAAATAAATAACAGTGAGTGCAAAAAATATTCGTATAAAAAAAATATTAAAAAAAAAAAAATTTATTTTTGAAATAAATATTACCCAGTGAGAAATGAGTCATCAAATTGATGCCGATATAAATACGATGATTTCAATATCAATTTAATGTCGATTCGACGAAATTGACGATCATTTCTTGTTGGATAATTAACTTTATTAATTAAACTTATTCATAAAGAATACAATAGACTGTATGTTTCTTAAAATTATATATACCAAAAAGATGTGTATTAATTATATAAATTATATCATCTGAAAAATAAGCGAAAATTAAAAATTATATTGTTTGAAACTCAAAAAGTATTCGTACAGACGAGAAATTTAGCTTCTAAAATCAAGAATACATGCGAAGCTCGTTTGTTTATGTTAGAACAAAATGTATTTGTTGTATAAAATTGCTAATTAATGTTTATTTTCTACAAATAAGGTTTTTTTTATAACAAATTTCCTTGTACTTTTTGCCCTCACTATATGTAAAAATTTCAAGCATGATAAGCAGTGCTGCAAAAAGTTTTGATATTCTAGCAACAAGTTTGAGGATCTTACATAATTATTTGAATAGTCCTACATGATTATTTTTATGATTCAACAAAATTATTTTCACATCTGTATCTAAATTTTTAGAAACTTCAGCAAAACCTTTCTGTGGAGCAATATTTCTGTGAAGATCATCTTAAACCAAAGCAAAAATTTTAGAAGATTGTACAATGATCGGTACTATCAGACTGTAAATTACAAGAGAAAAGACTTTGAACCTCCCTGTATCAATTGCCGTAAGGCAGAGATTCTTGTATTCTGCGGTACAGAATGTGCATTTCAAACAGAACATTTTAAAATTTAGATGTACTTTTATAACTGTCGTTGAAAATTAAGTATTACATTTATGATTAATGTTATCGTGCGATTATAACATTAATAATAATACAAATTTTCTTTTAATTATTCAATACTATTTTAGTATTTTATTATACTAAATTTTAATAAACTCTATTTTTAAGTTAAATGGCTTGCATTACCGTTGTTGAAATATCATTGTGACAATGCTTTCCGTGATGAATCGAAAGTTTGCACATCGACTACTACCTTTTTATTGTGACAAGTTGCCGCAATAGGAAAAACGTAAGTAAGAGATTTTATTGCTGTATGCACAGGAAACGTGGAAATACTTCACGACGGGAAGTGGGGCAGTATATGCGATGACGAATGGGACGACTTCGAGGCCAATGTGGTTTGCAAGCAATTAGGCTACAACGGTGCAATTAAAGCAACGACATATGGCCACTTTGGTCAGGCTAGAAGTGAGATGAGATATTTATTGTCTTTTCATCTTAAATCATTGTCTTTCACGGACGAGCGCAACAGTTGCGTGTATGGCCGAGACAAGCAAGATCATCTGTAATAAGTCGTTTGTTTATTTCAATTTATCGGCAGACACGCGTCATATTTTTAGTGTAATCTCTGAAAAACTATAGTAATAACATCATATAGATATTATATTTCCAATTTTACTTTTACAATTTATTTTATTTCACTCTGTTATTTGTTCTGTTATTTGTGCAATGTTATTTTTTATTTATCGGCCAACGCGTTCAATTAAAATATGAAATACAAGCGTGCAATTTTTTTATATAAAAAAATATTTCGAAGGAAGATACTGGATGGATAACGTTTATTGCGACGGATCCGAGATTGAACTCGCGAAATGCCGTTTCGACGGATGGGGCATTTCCGATTGCGGTAGTAACGAAGCTGCCGGCGTCATTTGCTCGCACGACGAGGAAACGAGAGCATCGCCACCAATTTCGCAAGAAAAGCCAGTAAAGACCAGAATAAAGGATACATATCAGCAAGGCACGGCTCTACGATTATCCGGAGGACGCGTACATTCCGAGGGTCGAGTGGAAATTAAATTAGGCAGTGCAGGTAACAAAACAATTTACTCCGAGGATTATAATTAATCACAATTATATGTATAGAACTATACAAAATTAAACTAATTTTAATTATAATTTAAAACAGGAACTTTAACTTTGTCTAAAGAATTACTAAAAACGTAAGTTATAATAAATATTGAAAAACCAAAGTAATTAATATGAATATATATATTAGATACACGTGTTTTCTTTGTAAATAACAATATTTTATCACGTTTTTAATTGCTCTATTAAAACTCTGTCAAAATCAAACAAAAAGGTAAAAATATATTCGAATTAAAATCCCAGTTATATATGTATTTAAATTTTAAATATAATATATATATATAAGAGAGAAAAATGTAATATGTTTAAATTCACCAGATGTACACCAAATTCGCGTGGCCACTTAATTTCAGATTGGGGTGTCATCTGCGGCGACAGTTGGTCCATTCTCGAAGCTGCCGTGGTTTGCCGTCAATTAGGCCTCGGTTACGCCTCTGACGCAGTGCAGACTAATTTCTTCGGCAATGGGGAAATCATCCCGATATCAATTACCGGGGTACAGTGCAATGGGAACGAGGGAAATCTGGCAGAGTGCCTACATGACAAGGTTGCAGATTGTCCAGGTACTTCTGACATCCTCGATGAGATATGTATTTATAAAATATTATCAAAGAAATATTTATGTAATAAATAATGTGATATTATCACAGGATTTTAATTATCTTTTTTTATAAATTATCTTTTTTTTTTTTAATTATCTTATTGAATAATCTTTGAAAAATTGATATAAAGAAAGATTTTTCCTCAGCAATTACATTTTTACTCTCTCTCTCTCTCTCTCTCTCTCTCTCTCTCTCTCTCTCTCTCTCTC